GGGTTTGTGCGACTTTTAATGGACGACGGAACAACGGAATAAACTGGACATAAGAAACACACTTCGAGTGTCATTGTCTTCTATTATCCCCAGATGGAACTGTCTCGTTGCAAAGAAACAAGCTCAGGGTTCTCATTGATTTAGCGTTCTAGTGAGTTAAAATGTTAAATCACATTATATTCATTTTTTGGTGTAACTGTATTTTATTTTGAAGGCATGTTTAAATACAATTAAATTAAAATTATTAAATTAAATCAATCTAAAATATAAACAATCAACGTCCCCCCTCAGTGGGCTGCGGTAAAATATCAAACATTGACCGGTCTGCAGCGATAAAAAGGTTGGGGACCGCTGCCCTAGAGCACTATTTCAAAAAAGTGAATAACACATAAGTGAAAAAATTAAAATATAATTATTACAAAAAGTGAAGCAAAGTGCTACAAATGAAAAAAAGCAGAGAAAATAATATGTAACATGTTATACAGTTTCTGATAAATCCTGTTTAACAAAGTCCAACACATTGAAAATTTTCAATTTCCATATTTTGTAGGGTAAATAAATTTTGCTAGGCTAATAAAAATTGTTTTGCAGTTTCTCAATTGTTTTTATTATTTGTTGTCAGTGTGAGCTAACCTTTACAATGAATCTTCATTTTTTCACATGACTGGCATTTTGGCTGGAGGAGATAACTGATATCACATACTGACATACAGTATGTGATATCAGTTATCCATTAAATAAAGTAAGAAACAAATAAAACTTGATCAATTTTTTAAGAGTTCATGACTTAGTTTCACAATGTTTTATATGTTGTTCAAATATATTATACATATAGTAACTTGAAACTTTTTTGTTAAGAATTACATGTACAGTACAATTTCAGTTGTACAGTATTAATATGTGCCATGCTATACTTTCATAATGACTATAATCATTCCAGAAGCAATTCAATACCAGTTTCACTTGTACATTTTTCTCACTTATACAAACAATTTTTTCTTGGTATCTTTGAAAAAAATATAAATGTGGTTTGACTATAATGACCTGACATCTTATTTGTTTGTTTACATAATTTTCATGTTATAGTACATGGAATATTTAAAATTTTATATAATAATCCTAGCTGAGTAGATTCTATAGATAGATAGTTGATAGTATTCTATTCTTATTTTTTTACCAATTAATATATATTAAGAGAATACTTTCTAAATTATTGATCATAATTAACTGAGAATGATGCCAGGTAATTATGTTTGCTTTATTTTTAATTATATACTATATGCTTGTATCTAATTGAAAAAAATTAGAAAATTGCTATTAGCATTTTATGATTTTTCCATGATAAAGATTATTAAATTTAACTTTTATTTAATTCTAGATAATTCTTTATTAAAGGTTTAATTCAATCAAGATTAAATTACTACTAAAGACTAAACCAAATATAAATATTTTTGTATTAAATCTGAAGTTTAATTACATTTGATTTTATAATTTTAGACCTTCAAAATGAATAAAATGCATTTACCATTATTGTTCCTACTACAGTTCCAGCAGATGCATTCTCGATAATAGTTGCTTCATATTTTTGTTTTTCAAACTGTGGCAAATTATCATTAACATCTAAGATGTTAACAGTTACTGTTGCAGTACTTGACAATTTTGGATCAGTAAATGCTTCAACAGCTGTAACCTATAAAGTATGGTATTGTATATTAAGCATTTAAAAAATTCTAATATCAGCAAAATTGAAAAATCATTTGTTATTTATTCATGAAAAAATTTTTTAAAATAACCCAAAATGTAAGAAAAAATAAAACAGAAAAGTTACATGTTAATTATAATTTATGTTTGAAGTAAGGGCTGATTACAAATACTGGTATGAAAATGTGATAATGTTTATCATCCCATTGTTACCATCAGAAATAAAATGTACTTGACAAGTACAATTTGTAAAGGTCAGAGAAAACATTATCAATATTCATTAAAATGTTCATGAAACATTATCTATATTCCATATCAATATTACTGAAATTAAGTTTATGGTAGTCACCAATAGCACTTCACATCAAACAAGATATAACTGAAAGAATGACTCTGACTTTTAATGCTGAGTAGATATCTATTTAACATTGAAAGTTGGAGTTATCTTTGGTTATAAAATACGTTAATTATTTGTGCTAAATTTAATAGAGGAAAATTACTTTAGATTCTCTAATAGTTTTGTTTTCATTTATTCTATTTTTTATTCATTCTGTCTCACAGACATTAAGAGGGTCTTTTTGCCTTGTCCATCATGGAATCAGACAGGCTCACAAAGGTTGGGTTATGAGAGACAGGACCTGATATATCATGGACAGACAATCCATAAACAATTCCTGGGGTTGCTCATTCAAATTCAAACCTGGGTCTCCATAGCAGTAGGTTAATGTCAACTGCCTCAGTTGGCCATTTGACTCTAATAGTTTTAGATTAATTAACAATCCTCTTGTTAGTAATTTGTTAATTAAAAAATTATCAAATATTTAATTATAATTTTTTCATCCGATGGTTCTGTCTATTTTTTAATATTTGAAGACAAGTTCACCCAAATAGGGATCACCATTTTTTCCTTTTGCGTTCTAGACAGAAATATTTTCCAAATGATATTTTTTCTATTATAAAGCAATTCAGTTATACATTTTTCATTTATATAACTTTGCACTAATATGTCATATTTTACAATACTCTAGAGCAGTGGTCCCCAACCCTCGGGCCATGGACTGGTACCAGTCCATGGATCAAATGATACCGGGCCACCCAAGGAACATTAAATTACTGGTATTTCCATTTTATTTACTATGGTGTATTTTTCTCGGGTTTGTGCGACTTTTAATGGACGACAGAATAACGGAATAAACTGGACATAAGAAACACACTTCAGGTGTCATTGTCTCCTATTACCCCCAGATGGAACAGTCTTGTTGCAAAAATACAAGCTCAGGGTTTTCATTGATTTAGCTTTCTAGTGAGTTAAAATGTTAAATCACATTATATTCATTTTTTGGTGTAACTGTATTTTATTTTGAAGGCATGTTTAAATACAATTAAATTAAAATTATTAAATTAAATCAATCTAAAATATAAACAATCAACGTCCCCCCTCAGTGGGCCGCGGNTAACTAACAAATTTAATAAATTTTCTAATGTTAAAATTAAATTATATAATAAATTTTCTTACCAATAAAATATATTTTCTTTGATTAGGATTTTCATAATCTAATGGTCCATTCATTACTCTTATACTGATAGATGTTGAGCCAGTGGCAATGTGTGGTTCTACACTAAATATATTTGATGAATCTATGATGTTTATATGGAATACTGAGTTTGAACCCTAAAAAATTTGTAATTTTTAAAAATATTATATATTTTTTCCATTTTCCTTATATTCTTGAATAAAGTTTTATACAAGTAAAAAAATTGTTTTTAACATTATATAAATTTATTATAAATGAAAATAAATTGGCTTGTATTAAATAAATAAAACTTTTAATGAAAAACTTAAAAATGGTTTTTTAAACTAAAATATCATTCTTAATAAAATAGAAAATAAGAATGAAAGAAAACAAAATAAAGATTCTGGCAAAAACAATTGGACAACACAATTATAAACTAATAAAAAGTAAAATAACCTTTCTTACATAAAAATTAATTCAGTTAAAATTTAAAAAAATAAATTACAGAATAAAAGCAATTCAAAAATAATTGTAGATTAAAATAAAAACTGATGATAAAACATTGGGTCTGGAATCTGTACAGAAAAAGTTATTAAAAGAAAATAATACAGGTGCTGTACATAGACCTATGATGTGGTTATAATCTTGATGTTTTTAAACATAATTTTTTATGTATTTAACATATTTTAAAAAATGCTTTGCTTTTGTTTTTTATTTTTGATTTTAAGTTTTAATCTTATTTTTATAAGCTTTTTATTTAGATTGTAATAAATAATTCATCACTATAAATATTGAATTTTATCACTTTATGAATACTCTAAAGACAAATATTTTTAGAAGTAATATAGTCTAAGTAGCCATTAAAAATTTATTTTTAATTTTTTAAATTCTTTCCACTCTTCAGTCACTAAGACATTTCCTTTTTCATATCTATCATAAGTTCAGCCAGTTGCACAAAGCATACAGATAGGTGTTGAAAGATGAAGTCTGACATATCAAAATCAACCTAATGATGAAAATTTCTGAACTGATAGGTAATGACAAGAAAGAAATTTAACACTATGTGTGTAGCAATGATTTGTGTTATATAAACTTTTGTATTTGTATTGTGTAGCAATGCTTTGTGTCATATTACCATTGTATTATTTTTTATAATAAATAAACGGCCATGACATGATGTCTTTTATGAAGCCTGCCACTTTTTGGTTCGGTATGACTTGAAACGGATCAAAATAGTTGTGTATGATTTTTTTAAACTTACTTGTAAGGTATCCTACTCACTATCTGTGAACACATAACTTGCAACAGTGATATATTCAACAGATAGACTCAAATCCAAGTTTCCTAAAGTGGAGCCTTTACTGTTTCAGTCATCTGACTATACAAATTTTTCTTTTTAAATAGAAAATAAAAATACTGCTATAAACAAAGGAAATTTTTGTTTCTCAGGAATGTATAGAAACAGAAATTTTAACTATTGAATATTTATAATAAAATATGGATCAATTGAAAAGTGTTCATTGTAAATTTTATTTATTTTTTTAAACATAATTATATGAAAAAAGTGAAGAAATAAAAGTATTCAATTCAGAGATAAAATACTTTAAATTTGAATATATCTATTGTATTTTTTAGTATTCTAATTTCATTTATACTTCAGAATTGAAGTACTCCTTTTCTTTAACTATTAAACTATAATTAAAAATATTGAAGATACTTACAACATCAGGATCTTGTACAAACATATCCAAATTAGGTAAAGGTGTACCATTTGGTACATTTTCATTAACATTTACTGTATAACTTATTCTGTTAAAAGTAGGAGCTTCATCATTGACATCTTTAATAGTTATTGTTACTGACTCAACAGCGACAGTTTCGGAATCATTTCCAGGGATTCCATCAATTAATTCAATAGCCTAAAAATGTTATTTATTTTTTAGTAAATGTAAAGAGTNCGAAGTAAATTATCTTTTTTTACAGACAATTTTATAGAAATTGTTTGTAAAGGTACCTAATTTATTAAACTATTAATTTTTCATTTCAGATTTTAATTTTGGATTAGTCTTCGTTACTAGTTTGTAGTTTATTGTTTGTGGATTAGTTTTATTAACATTTACTGTATAACTTATTCTGTTAAAAGTAGGAGTTTCATCATTGACATCTTTAATAGTTATTGTTACTGACTCAACAGCGACAGTTTCGGAATCATTTCCAGGGATTCCATCAATTAATTCAATAGCCTGAAAATTTTATTTATTTTTTAGTAAATGCAAATAGTTTATTAATTAAAATTTACTTAAATATATTATTATTATTACCTTTATTTTTAAACTTATAACACCATTAGTAGAAGAATATAGCTCTTTATCCAATGGTTTTATTGTTCTTAATTCTCCAGATTTATAATCAATTGCAAAAGAATCTTCAGGATCTTAATAAAGTTTATAATACTTCATCAGTAAATAAATCATCCAAAAATTTTTATAGATAGATAAGAATGAAGAAAATAAAAAAGACTTTAACATTAAAAAATCTTTATACTTAGAAACATAAAATTCTAATACTTTAGAAATAAATGTTTATAAATATCAAGTTTTAAATAATAATAATTTATGTAAGATGCTACTTATAAAACTAACTTGTTAATAATTCATAAACTATTTCATGGGGTATTCCTTGATCTCCATCTTTAGCAGTTACTGTCATAACAAGTGTTCCCTAGAATAAAATTTCCTTAATTCATTAAGTGAGGTAGCATAATATATGTCTGTGAACTAATAATCAATTACATCAAACATTCCACTCCACTTTCAGACATTTTAACTCTTAATTTTGTAAATTATATGGATTAAAAATATATTAAATTATTACTATTTTAAAATATTTTAATAATTTTTTTGTAATTAATAAATTAAATGTAAATTAACTAAAGTAAGAATATATTATAAAATCAATTGTCATTAATTTTTAAAGGAAATAAAGAAAAAACAAATAGCTTTATAAGAAATAACAAATTTAAGAAAATATAATGTTAAAACTTTTAGTGTTTTTGAAATAATATTAATTCCATCTTCAAAATTATAAAAATAATGAAACTTCAAAATGGAAGGCAGATATTATATAGCAGAATATAACAAACAGTTATATTATTTAAAGATTTGTTCATATGCAAATTGCATTATTTGAAAATATATAGAGCTTATTTAAAATTCTGAACTGACTAAAAAATAACTCAAATTGTAATTAATAATTAATTAAATTCATTCTATTTAAACAAGTATTCTCTTTGTAAAAGAATAAAACTTTTTATCAAGTTTTTAGATAAAAATAATTAAAATGCTTAAAACATAATTACAGTTAATTTAATATCAAATTTTCCTTAAACTAAAACTAATTATTATACAAAATATTGCATCATGTAATATGTATTGTACTGTACATATTACATGATGCAATTCTTTATAAAATTCAGCATTCAGTTTCAACTCAAAATTAGCAATAATATTTATTGTAGAACGATAATGACAATAACAATGAAATTATAAAAATATGCAATTTTTCAAAAAAAGGTGTTTAAATTTAAACTTTATTATTTTAATATAGTGAACAATCACATTATTTAAGAATATCCATTTTTACTTTATTTATTTTGATACTCTGTCAAATTTACATAATGTTTAATACCAATAGGTGATTACAAAATCTGCATATTGGCTGAATAGTAACTATTCAAATTATGTTAACTGAGTTTAAAGAAGAATATTATCATTGGCAACAAAAAAGTTACTATTGTTTCATTTAAAATTATTTCACGATTCTATTATTCTTCACTTCTTATATGATAACTTTAAGAATAAATATTTATGCAATAGAGGTATAAAATTATGATGAGATTTTATAAATGAAGTACTAATATAAAGTTTTAGTTAAATCAGAATGTGTTAAATAATGAGGTCATTTGGAGATTATTTCAGTTGCAAATTCGTAGTTAATTCGATTTAAAAATATTATTTACTTTTTATATAAAAAGATCTTCAAATGCATTTTAATTAGACATAATAGTTAAGTTATAAGGAAAAGTAAAAAATTAATTTTTAAGAATTAAAAGTAAAAAAAATCAATATAACAAGTATCTTGATGTAAAAAATTAATATATTTTCAATATGTGCCTTATTTAGTTGAAGTTGAATTCTTAAACTGTTTCTTATGAGAATTCATCTCTCATCTTTTGTTTGCTAAAATATAATAAAAATATCAAAAATGTTAAATATCTCATCTATTATTCATTTCTTTTATTTGTATGTTTACTAATTAAATATCTGCTCCTTTCTAACTAATATTTTGTCTTATTTTAATTAAAATAATGAGCCAAAACATAGTTATCAGAAATAAACACTGTTTATTTCTAAACAATAATAAAATAAAATATTACATTATTTAAAACATATATGATTGTTATTAATTAAAAAACTTCTCTCTTCTATTGAATTTTTCCTATAAGTTTGAATTATTTTTATTAATATAGATGAAATCAACAAAAAGCTGAAATTGATAGTTCTGCTTTTATAAGCAGAACTTTTAATTTCAGCTTTAAGATTAGCCTTAAATAAGCTGAAATTAAAAACCATTTTACATTATTGTAATTATAATATATTGTTTCATTTCAGTTAAAAGATATGAAAACTTATTAGAAAGATATTTTTACCACTGGATCATCTTCATTCACAATTCCTGTTAAAGAACTAGTGAAAATAGGTGGTTGATTTTGAACATCTCCAACATTGACAATTACAGCAGTTGTAACATTATGGCTTCCATCCTATTAAAGATTTGAATAATATAAATAATTATTAAAGCATCAAAACAATAAAAATATTATCTTAAATGTAACAGATCTAAATTTTTTAAAATTTTTATATATTTTAATCATTTAATAAAATCAATGAATACAACATTTTTTATTTACAATATCTACTTATTTTAAAATACTTTCAAAAACTCAATTCTTTATCTTTTAATGAAAAAAAAATCCTATTTACAAATAAAAGAAAACAATTTTACAATAATAATATTTTTAAGAAACTTAAAAAACTAATAAATCAGATTTTTAATTAAACTGTAATAACAATGATGAAAATAATGAATTTGATATAAAGACAGGCAGTTAACCTGTGATTAAGATTTTTTTTGCATAGTAAATAAACAGCAGTTAATGATTTTGACTTATAATTAATTATATTTGTTATAATTTAATATATAATATCTGTATCAAGTTCAGCTGAAATGTTAATAGGTGAAAAAATTAGAACATATTTATATAACATTCATCAGATGTACTGTACACAGTAACAGATTAAACCAAAAACTAATGTTTCAAATATTTGTAATTCAAATATCAATAAACATTAATCATGTATTCTGAATCAATTACGGTGTGTAGATGACAAAAACAAACAAAAATGAATGTTTTCTAACTCCTTCCGAGTTCTTCGTCAGGTTTTTTAACAATTCTTTGATGGTTCTTAGTTTTGGAATAAAATTCGAACAAGAGAAAAGGAATTGTTAAAAAAAAAACTCAATGAAGGACTCAGAAGGAGTTCGAAAACATTCATTTTTGTTTGTTTTCATCATCTATACACCGTAATTGGTTCAGAATATGTGATTAACTATATCCCGGTGTGGTGAGTGGTTGTTTAATAAACTTTAAATTTATATTAATAATCTCTTAAAAAAAAAAAAAATCCAGCAGGAATTTTTAGAGAACAAATGCTTTCAACTGTATTAAACAGTCATTGTAAGCTTCAAAACATTATGGGAGGGAATATAATGAATGGAGTGCATAATGTAGAATGAAAAAAAGCATTAGTATGTTAGCCAGATCTGGTTAACATTAAAAAGATGGAATACACATGAGAATAACAGTAAATTGCAAAACTGACAGTGAAAATAACTACATTAAAAAGGGAAGAATGGAAGAAGGATGAAATAAACAAATAATTTAAGAAGTAATGAGAGTCTGTAAAAATTAATATTGACCTTTATATTAATTTTGTTAGTAATATCGATATTTCATTTAACTATTATATTGATAGGTGAAAATTAAATATACTAATGAAATGATGACATACTAAAATAAATACAGTATATAGATTTTGCACTGATATCACAAAAATTGTGAAAATTGAAATAAGTTCTAATATACTATATTTTACTGGATCTATTAATGAAATAAATATTTTTCTACAAATTTTAAATCAATGTTTATCTTAATCACTATTAATTTTTCTATTATCTGGTATTATCCTTAGAATTCTGCATCATTCCATATTTATTATTTTTACCTAAGAAACATTACATAAAATAATTTTTAATGGTTACAATAGAGAAACAGCTAATAAAAGGATATGATGTAATACATTCCACATATCACTAACACATTAATATATCAGTATAAAAATAAACCGATACTTTAATTTTATTCTATATTTTAAATTAGAGCTTAAATTGAAAAATAAAGTCAAATGTCTTATAAACAATACCAACAATACCAATATTCATATATTATATTCTTTAATTAATATTAAATTAATTAATTTAACTTACTGTGGCAAGCAATTTAACTTGATATATATGCCTTTCAGCATAATTTAGTTGTTTTCTTAATATAAGATGAGCTAAAACATTGTGTGGTGTTGCAGAATAACTGACAATATTAAATTTTTCACATGCATCTGGAAACTTAAATAAATAATATTTATTATAAACTAAGTTTTTATATTGAGAATAGAATATAATAATATAAAAATAATGATAACTAAAGAGATTTTTAGTGTATATTTTTATGTCATTAATTTACCTTACATTAATTTCCACCGTTTATCACTCCATTTACCCATTAGATTAGATTAGATTAAGTATTTCTAAAGTTAAAACTGAAACTTAAAGAACACTAATTTATGGATGTTCCCAATCATCCAAAAATCAGTAACTGACAAATTAAAAACAATCCGAGAAGAAATTTTATGCAATTCTCTGAAAATTATATGACCACAATAAAGCCTATATACATGCCAATGAATTATACTTTAAATAAAAAATATGCATTAACTTTCATATATATATTTTTTTTTTAGTTTTTACAATTCCTGTTCAAAAATTTATGGGCTAAACTGTATATTTCATTAAAATATAGGTTGTTTTACAAGATAATAAAAATATTACAATTGAAATGTTAAATGTTTACTTAATGCTGTATTATTGTAAAAATGGATTTGGAAATATTTTGTTTCAATTAAAGTTATTGACATTTGAGACTAGCTTAAGTTTTATGAGTAAATATTTATAACATATATATAAAGAAACTGTAACTTTATTTTTCGATAAAAACTTACAATTAAAAGTTAATAAAGACTAAACTTTATATGAAAAAAATGCAGTTTTCATAATTCATTCATTTTCGTATCACAGGAACAATAATTCTATTTGGTAAAGTCCACCTTTAAGTCCACTTTGGTGAAGTCCACAGGCTCTACACAATGTTAGCATATTGAGATGGGGAAAGCCTAAAATAAAAGCTGGACTTCATCAAATAGAATTGTTATTCCTGTGATGTGAATATGGATGAATTATGAAAACTGTGATTTGAAGATTTTCTTCAAGTGAAGTTCAATTAAATTTGCAATCCAGTTTTTTTAATTAATACTTCATAAAGACATACTTTATTTTATATAACAACAGATTTGAAGAAATACCAAATAACAAGTACCATAATCAAATTATTTGAAAAACTTCTAACTTGAAAATGTTTTGAAATATTTCAATGCTTTCAGAATTCAAAATTTGAATTACTATATATGAAATGATTAATGATATTATCAGACTATTAGAGCCAATTATTAGTGCTTTCTAAATATCTTTTTTACTTTTTCAACCCTGTAGGCACCATTAATTAACTTTCTAAATATTATAAGTTATAAAACTTTTGAAATCTCTTGTTAAACTTTATATAAACTTAATTTTGAACTTTATATTAAACTTAATTATGAATTTTTATTCAATACTCACTATATATTTAGAAATATAGAAATATTAATAAACATTAAAAAACTGACTCCAAGTTTTTCTTATGTTTGTTCTAGTAAAAGTAATTTATATAAGATCTCATATAATTCCTTAAAATTAATAATTTTTTATTAAACTAAATTTCAAATGATCTTTTTGTTCTATTATAAATAAATAAATATAAATTATGTAAATAAATATTTTCATGATATATTCAATTAAATTGCAATTAAAATTTTTACCTGAGCATGAAATGAACAACTGACTTGAAGAACATTTCCAATATCATCAGCATCAGTTACATTAATTCCTTTGAAAACTATCGTTCCTATTGATGCNATATGTCGATGCATGCTGGGATAGCTTGATGAACTATAATAGTACTGGCAACTTAACAGTGTAATATCCACTGAAGAGGCTAAAATAGCGAAATATATATGGATAACATAATAAAGTAAGAAATAGTGAAAATAATTCTCTGGTTTTCTCTGTTTTTTTAAACTCTATCGAAGTCGGAATTAAAGAGTGAACGTCACTTGTGGTTCTTAAAGGTTTTTTTTAAACGAAAAAATGTTTAGAATTTATTAATTTTAACAAAAAAAATATATAAAATACTAGATGCTATAAAATAAAAATATATACATTTATAAAGAAAAATAACAAGTACTTAGTGGTACAGCATTAAATACTGTTTTTTAGTTATTGCTACATTTTTCCTATAACAGAACTTTACTTTTAATCACTATATACACATACTGGCAGTAATATTTTCAAAGAAAGAATACTGATTAAATATAATTGATTTTTGTGTTTTTGAATTTAAATTTAAATGTTTCTATATAGAAATAAGTTTCCTATAAAGAAATATGGCAAGTCCTGATTTAATGTCATTTTCTTTAACATCGTTGTGGAAAAACACAAATACATTTGTAATTATTTACAATTATTGTTGTATAGTCTTTATAAGCAGTAAAATTGATTTTATGAGGTGGAAAGTAAATACTGCAGGTTACGAACATAATTCAATTAAAATAATATTAACTGATTTATATCTTCTTTATATCATTTAGCCCATGATAAAATTGGTTTAATGGGCTGTAATTTGAAAAAATTGTAGACCTATAAACAGCGGCGGCCTTATCCATTGCGAGGCTCTGGGCGGCAGATCTTTGCGAGGCCCTTGTCCTTTGTGCAAAGTACGTGAATTGAAATAGTAGGCATTTATTAATATTAATATATACTATACTATAAATTAAATTTATTTTATTGTTATAACTAATAGCCAAGGATAAAATAAAAAGTTTTAAATATCAACTTTTTTCTACTTGGTTGTTGCGCGAGGCCCCTCCAAGAGCGAGGCCCCGGGCGATTGCCCTGCTCGCCACCCCCTAAGGCCGCCACTGC